TCAGGTTGAAAACAACAATCACATATTCATATGAGCTGCCAAAACCATTACTGTGGCCAGTGACACCAAATAGTGCGAAAATCGTCGGAACACTTCGGGCTCAAACAAGCAGCACTCCGTTGACCCCAGATGATAGTACGAACTCGCGGGAGCTATGTTACAATCAAATGAGGATACTGTCTTCGAACAGGCAAATACAGTCTCTACTGGGAAAGCTCGTGTATGATCACCGGATTTGTCAAAATCTCCTTGGCAGGAAGCTTATACGCGGCCTATGACGACCAAAATCTTCACATGACCTCGCATTTTTTGGTGGGTCATGTCCTTCGAAGATTTTTTCAGCCGTAGATGGTGTGTGATCTAATTTCTCGCAACAATTTTTCATGTAACATTGAGTTTGGCAACAAAAAATCCATGCGTGCATCCAAGGCTACTTTCGAAACTTTTGCACCAAAGGATCACCCATGCACAACTTTTGCCAGATAATTCACAAAGGCCACACATCCACTGCCACAAACACAAATAGAAAGGACGATCGCCGTACAAGAAGCACAAAAGAATATACCACGGCAAGGAATATGCTCTGGGATATGCTCTCTCCAGTACGTGCGAGGCAACAGTGGTGATGTGTGGTACCCGGATGGCGATGGCGACCCCCGGCGATTCGTGAGCTAAGCCTATCCATGGAGGAGAGGAATGCGTGGGCAGTAAACCACTTCTTCTTCCTCGCCTCGCCTTGTTCTTCTTCTTCTTCTTCCTCCTCGCGTCGCCCACCATTTCTAGGGCAGAGTGTTACGGAACGGACGAATCGATGGCGCGGAGGAGGAAATCTCAGTTTTGCCACGCCTGGATGCAGTGAGAAAGAGCTCCATCCTCTGTTTGGCCGCTAGCGCTTGGACTCATCTCCCTTCCGGGAAGAAATTCTTTTCCTTTTGTCCAAAATCGGCGAGAAAATGCGCCCCCGCGGGCGAGCGCTCTGTTCCTCCTGCCGCTCCTGCCGCCACTGCTGCTGCCGCGAATCGATCGGTCAAGGTATCTTTTCTATCCATCCAGATTCCAATGTAGGACGCGACCGTAGCTTCCTTCCACCAGGGCTTATATTTTTTCGTTTTGGATGCTGTTCTTGGCAGGGGGAGGAAGATGGTTGAATCGGGGATGAGAGATCGGCGCTGCTACATTGCCAGGGCTTGGATTTTGTCATGGGTTCCTCCTCGCCACAAAAGCCAGCATCGGCGGCGGCGGGGGCAGCAGTAGCTCCGCCACCAGCGCCGTCAAACTTTGGCGATTTCGTGCAGCGATTCGCATGGGCGTGCTTGCTCCGCCCGGGAGGAGTGAAGATGGCGCTCAAGGACGACGAGGATAGCGGCGGCGCTGAGTCGTCGGAGTCCTCGGAGGATCAGTGGGTTAGCGGCGGCAAGGCTCGGAGCGGCGGCGGCGGCGGCGCTACTGGCGGTGGTGGCGGCGGCGCCAAGCTTAGCAGTAAGAGCAAGAGCAGCTCTTTCAAGGAGACCAAGGAGGAGGACAACGATCACGACTCCTTCCACGAGGCGGAGTGGGAGTCCACCGCGTCCGCGGCGACGTCCGCCGCGCGGATCCACGCCCTGGAGTCGGCCATCGGCGAGGTGTTTGCCACTGTCTCGGCGCTCAAGTCGGCCTACATCCAGCTCCAGGCGGCGCACTCGCCCTTCGATCCCGAGAAGCTCCGCCTGGCGGACAAGGCCGTCATCCAGGAGCTCCGCCGCCTCTCGGAGATGAAGCACGGCTTCCGCGACCAACAGCGCTTGCGGGATTCGTCCTCGACGCTCCACCAGCACCTCCACCAGCACCACTACCACAATGGGCGGCAGCAGCAGAGCCTCGAGGAGCACAACGAGGAGCTCCGCCGGAAGATCCAGGAGCTGGCCACCGCCGCGGGGATCAAGCAGCGCGCCATGGAAACGTACGAGGCGAGAGTCCGCGCGTGCGAGGCGGAGATTGAGCAGCAGAGGCTGGAGATCGACGAGCTCAACGACAATCTCGCGCGCGCGGTGGCGCGGCGGGAGAAGCTGGAGCGCCGGCTACGCAAGTGTGAGCAGCGATCGTCCGCCAATCACCACCACCACCATCACCATCGCCAGGGGATTGGATTGAGCTCCTCTGGAGGATCGCCATCGATCCTCGAGGGCAGCGGCGGTGGCGGGGGGCTCCTCAGCTCCATCGACGCATCGCCCACGACCCAGATCTTCGAGGTGGCGGTCCAGAACGCGCGGGAATCGGCGCTCGCGTTCAGCAAGCTCCTGGTGAGCCTGATGCGCGGCGTGCAGTGGGATCTGGAGGCGGCGGCGGAGTCGATCGAGGCGGGGATCGGATACGCCCGCCCCGCCCACCGCCGATTCGCCTTCGAGTCCTACGTGTGCCACCGGATCTTCTGCGGCTTCGAGAACGAGAACTTCTACATCAATGGCAGCCTCTCCTCCATCCTCGACCCCGTAAAGCACCGCGCCGAGTGCTTCCGCCAGTTCCGGGACATGCGCGCCGTCGATCCCGCGGATCTGCTGGGCATTACGCCGGAATGCCTGTTTGGGAAATTCTGCCACAGAAAGTACCTCCAGATCGTGCACGAGAAGATGGAGGAGAGCTTCTTTGGCGGGTTTGAGCAGCACCGCGACGTGATTCTGGGCGGGGGCCATCCACGGACGAGATTCTACCAGAGCTTCCTGCGCTTCGCCAAGGCGGTGTGGCTCGTCCATCGCCTCGCGTTTTCGTTCGAGCCGACGGCCACGATCTTCCAGGTGAAGAGAGGTACCGAGTTCGATCCCGCCTTCATGGAGAGCGCCGCGAGAAATGTGAGGATGAGTGATGACGACGATGGCGTGAGGCCGCGCGTGGGTTTCACTGTCATGCCGGGTTTTCGTGTCGATAAGTGGATTGTCAAGTGCCATGTCTACCTGGATGGCATGGTCGCCTCCGAGGATTGACGAGAGATCTTTCTTTTGACTAGAAATCTAGCTGCGATCGCGATCAAAGTTTTATAGAAGATCAAGAAATCTCTATGGCTTTACAACTTTGGAGTGGAGATAATTGATATAGCTCCAACAGTGGATTTTCTTAAAGTACATAGACACAAGTTTTATACAAATCTGGACAATGTCTAAAGAATTTTATCGCTCGAGCTTTGGATTTTCGATAAGTCTGCGGACATCCAAGGTGTGTATCTCTCGAGCTTTGCCTTTGGCGTTTTCTTTGATATTTTTCTTTCATGGCTGGCTGTGTGCGTTCCATAAAGCTCCTGGCAGAAGTGGCACATGCCCCGTTTTATTTTTGCTCGCGCAGACTTCAACGCTTGCCTGCTAAAAGTGCCAAGTGTTTTTCGCGTCATTGATTTCACGGAGCAAGCGGACAGACGCCAACTTCTCAGGCGTCGTTTGCTTCTGCTGTTCTCGTCGGCGAGAGGTCGTCTCTTTTCCTAGAATCGACACAAGAATTCATTAGCCTGTTGGAAAGCAGTAGTAATAAGCATGACCTGTGGAGTGGCAGCAGCAGTGGTAGCAGCAGCAGGCACGGGAGAGGCTGTTACACCTGTTACAAAACCAGAAAACGCGCCTCTGCCTCGTCGCATAAACTCGATCAGGAAAAAATGAAGAAAAAGGAATTTGGATCACTACATACTTGGAAGCTGGAGTGATGAGCTACACAAGTGTCTGGTGATGATGAAGATGAAGCTCAGGAAACATAGATAGTTATCTGTAGACGTCCCAAAAGCAAGCAGATAGTTTGGAGCAGAAAGACTATGGCGGGCGAGGCAGAGGCGAGATGAATTTGCAGATAACTTTCAGAAGTTTGCAGATCATGACGAGGAGGCAGTACAATTGGAGATGAATAACGAGGAAGCAGACGTGCAGAACTCGTCATACCTCGGAGCACAAAGACCAAATGAGTTTATCTCGAAACGAGAAAAGAAAGAAAAAACCGTAAACATACAACTTAGTTCTTACATGAAATCCACAAGGAAGAGATAACTTAACCCACAGCAGCAGCCTCCCCTCGTCCCGTTGTTTTTCGCAAAAGTTCTCAGTTGTAAGGACTGCGGCTGCGGCTCCGGCTACGCCTGTACCTGGGAGCTGGACTCCTGCCAAGAACAAAACATGCAAAAAACAAAACCGAGTTTGCTTTGCAATGCGAAGAACAGAAAACATACCCATTGAGCGCTGGAGGTCCCCTCTCTCTCCTGGGAGGTGGAGACCGGCTTAAGCTGTTGTAGCGACGAGCGGGAGGTGGTGGCGATCGACTGTAACTGTAACGACGACGAGCTGTTGGTGATATACTACGCCTCGGAGGACTGCGACTGTGTTATGCATTAGAGCATAAACAGTGAAGGTCTCAAAGGAAAAAAGCAAGAAGAAAAGAGAAAGGGGAGGAGAAGAGTGGCGTACCCTCGTCCATAGCTGGGACTACGACGATATCGTGGTGGCGGACTCCGGCTCCTCCGTCGGCCCCCTCCTTTTCCCATTCCAGCAGCGCCAACGCGAAGAACGCACTCCCGCGCAAAATGCCCAGCCTCGCCACACTCGTAGCACTTTAGCTCGTCGCCGCCGCCGCCGCGGCCTTCGCGAGCTCCCGGATCCCTTCCACCACCGCGACCACCGTTTGAGCTCCGCGATAGTTCTACTCGCCATCCATTCTTCCCTGGAAGCTCAAAAGAAGAAAAATGAGATTATTTGCGGTTTTTTCTCGAGGAACTTTACCATTCATGTTTTGAATCGCGTCCTGGGCATCGCGGTAATCGTCGAACTCTATGAACGCGAAGCCCGGAGGCTTCCGGGCTACCCACACACTGCCAGCAAAATCGAGCCTCAGATTTGGATTCTTTGGCGCTGGAAAAAGGACGAGAGGAGAATCGATTTGCGCGTGGCTTACCTTCGCAGCACGCCGAAGCTCCGGAACTCGTCCTCGAGCTCCCGCTCCGTCGATCGCGGATCCAGATTGCCGACGTAGACGCGCGCCATGGACAAGCCGCTGAAGAAACCCTAGTTAGGGTTCTTCAGTAATGCTTAATGAAATAGAAAAAAGTGAAAATTTTCTTATCCATCACGTCCACTTCGCAGATAAGCTCAAAAATCGCGCTTTCGTACTTTTCTTCTTGGTGTGTGCCCTAACGGCGTCGTTACGAAGAACAGTGAGGCCATCGCAGCCGGGCAATGCCGCTGCCGCGCCGCCGCGATCGCGCCAGTGCCATCGGCTGGGCTGGGAAATGCGTAATCTCCAGCTCCACAGCTAGAGCGCCTCTCGAATGCCTAGGGTTTTAAGGTTGCTCCATCGGCAGAGCACAGCGCGCAGCTGCCGATGACGCCTGGGAGGAGCTAGGTGAGGTACTGCGGGGGATTCACTGATCGGGCTCTATTTCGCGTTTCCAGTGCACATACTCTCATCGCTGAGCGATTCGTCTCATCAGAATCCCCAGAGGTACTACTCTTGATCAGATCGGCAGCATCCAGGTGTCGCCATTCGCATAGCTCCTGGCATTGATCGCTGGAACGCGTTTTGCTTCCATCGCATTTTCGAAGGTACACCCGATTTTTTACCTCACCGTGGTTCCTCTGGTTTTGTATCAGTGTGGTACTCACGGATCACAAAGAGATCATGGTCTCCAGATCGTATTCCAACCTTCTCGATCTCTCCGGGGAGTACCCGACTTTCATGCGCAGTGGAAGCAGCAGGCGGATGTCCAGAGTAATGACGGTGCCTGGGATGTGCTCCGAGAGCAGGGAGGAAGAGTCGGTTGCCAACCTCACCCCAGGAGAGAACGTATCGTCCTCGATCTCTCAGGACAGGGCCATCATCGTGTCAAACGTTTTGCCCCTCCACGCTAGCAGGCGTCCGGATAATCTGTCTTGGGTTTTCAGCTGGGACGAGGACTCTCTCCTTCTCAGGCTGAAAGACGGTCTGCCGGAAGACATGGAAGTTCTATACGTCGGCTGCTTGTCCGTGGACGTGGAACTCAGCGAACAGGATGAGGTAGCAGCGTATCTTCTCGACAACTTCAACTGCGTCCCGACTTTCATTCCGCCGGATCTGAGGAACAGGTACTACATTGGGTTCTGCAAGCAGCAGCTGTGGCCTCTCTTCCACTACACTCTGCCGCTGACCCCGGAGCACGGTGGACGATTTGATCGACCACTGTGGCAGGCCTACCTTTCTGTGAACAAGCTGTTTGCGGACAAGGTGATGGAGATCATCAGCCCGGACGAGGATTACGTGTGGGTTCACGACTACCATCTCATGGTTCTGCCGACCTTTCTCAGAAAGAGGTTCAACAGGATAAGGCTCGGGTTTTTCCTACACAGTCCGTTTCCTTCGTCGGAGATATACAGGACACTTCCGGTTCGGGAACATATACTGAGAGCGCTCCTCAACGCTGATTTGATTGGCTTCCACACCTTCGACTATGCGCGGCATTTTCTTTCGTGCTGTAGCAGGATGTTGGGACTGAATTACGAATCTAAGCGGGGCTACATCGGGCTAGAATATTATGGACGCACAGTTGGGATCAAAATAATGCCGGTCGGGATTCATATGGGTCAGCTTGAAGCAGGCTTGATTCGCAGTGACACGGAATTGCGTATAGCAGATCTGAAAGCACAGTACCAAGGCAAGGTTGTGCTACTTGGTGTGGACGACATGGATATTTTCAAGGGGATTGGACTTAAGTTCCTGGCGATGGAGCAGCTTTTGAATCAGAGGCCGGAATGGAGAGGCAAGGTGGTGATGATACAGATTGCAAATCCAGCCAGGGGCCGTGGCAAAGATGTTCTTGAGGTGCAGCACGAGGCCTATTCAGTGGCGAAGAGGATCAACCAGGCTTACGGAAGGGATGGATACCAGCCCGTGGTTCTACTGGAGAGACACGTTCCATTCCCGGAAAGGATCGCTTACTACACCATTGCGGAGTGCTGCGTGGTGACTGCTGTGCGGGATGGTATGAATCTCATTCCGTACGAGTATATAGTGTGCCGGCAAGGCAGCAGCGCTGCCTCGAATGGCACGGAGGGAGAGTCGCTGAAGAAGAGCATGCTCGTCGTATCAGAGTTCATTGGCTGCTCACCATCGCTGAGCGGCGCGATCCGGGTCAATCCTTGGAACATCGAAGCGGTTGCGGAAGCGATGATCATGGCTATAAGCATTCCAGAGTCAGAGAAGCATGCCAGGCACGAGAAGCACTACAAATACGTGAGCTCCCACGACGTAGCATACTGGTCGCAGAGTTTCATGGGAGACTTGGAAAGAACCTGCAGTGGACACACTCGAAGGCGATGCTATGGGATTGGCTTTGGCCTGGGATTCAGAGTGGTGGCGCTGGATCCCAACTTTAGGAAGCTGTCTATGGAGCATATAGTGTCCGCGTACCGAAGGAGCAAGAGCAGGGCCATTTTACTGGACTACGACGGAACCATGATGCCTCAAGCGTCAATAAACAAGACCCCCAGTCCGGAAGTTCTACTGGTGCTGAACTCCTTGTGTAGCAATCCCAAGAACATCGTCTTCATTGTGAGCGGTCGCGACAGGCAAATACTCAGCAACTGGTTCTCGCCCTGTGAGAAGCTCGGCCTGGCCGCCGAGCACGGATATTTCTATCGGTACGTGATACTACTTCACTACATTGATAACGTCATGGTGCTTTTCTATGCATGCAGGTGGATAAGAGATTCAGATTGGCAGACTCTCGTCCCGGTCGTGGATTTTGAATGGAAGCAAGTGGCTACTCCGGTCATGAAACTATACACGGAAAGCACAGACGGTTCGTGCATCGAGTCGAAGGAAAGCGCTCTCGTCTGGCACTACGGCGATGCGGATCCAGATTTTGGATCGTGGCAGGCAAAGGAGCTCCATGACCATCTTGAGAGCGTGCTTGCAAACGATCCAGTCTCGGTAAAGAGCGGGCAGCACATAGTGGAAGTGAAACCACAGGTAGAACTTCCTTTCTACAGAATTTTCATTTTAATGGTATCCTTGGTGCTCGCAGGGTGTAAGCAAGGGCGTGGTTGTCGACAAGCTTTTGGCTTCCATGGCAAGCAAGGGAACGCCAATCGACTTCATTGTGTGCGTTGGGGACGATAGATCGGACGAAGACATGTTTGAGACGATCGACACGGCGGTGGCATCACCTCCGCTTTCGTCTAATACGGAGATATTTGCCTGCACGGTTGGGCAGAAGCCCAGCAAAGCAAAGTACTACCTCGACGACACTGCGGACGTGATCAAGATGTTACAGGTCTTGTCCACTGCGCCTGATCCATGAAGAACGCGGCCAATGGAATCCAGCCAACGGAGAAAGCTCAAAGGAAAAGCCAAACGAGCAAAGCAAGCGATGTTATCAGGCAAGTCACTTTTCTTGATGTGCGAGAAGAAAGTATAACCTTTCAATTGCAGTGAAGTCTGCCACAACAATGCATGAATTGATATGATTCAGGTGCATCTCTTGTTTGCTTTCAAGTCAAATATGAAAATGAGAGTGTCATGGTGTTTGCAGAAAATATATCAAATCGATTACGTCATTGACAAAACTTAAGGAGAAAAAAGTGTGATAGCTCTCAGGGGATATGCCATGCCCCAACGACCACCAGGAAGATAGTAAACGAAACTGTGAGCTCATACCATGTGACGCAATCGTGACTGCAAAGCGGCAGCTCTCTTTCTCCTCCGAAATCGCCAATAGATCACTGCTAAAAGCGCCAACCAAGCTAGAGGTATCAACCACCTGCAATGCAAAAGCAAAAGAGAAGCGAAAAAACTCTTTAGTTTTGAGCTCTACTGGTTGGAGTCCGTGAAGAGATCTCTTACCTGTCCATGTCTAAGATTGGGCTATAAACTGTCGTCTCCCAGACTGCGACAATCGTTTGCCACACTGGATTGTAATACAGCAGCTCCGCCGACCAGAAAATCCTCGTGTAAGTCTCCAAGAACACGAACAGTCCCCATGCGGCCACTTCGAGCAGTAAGAACTTCACGACGAAGCGGCCAACGACCACCATGACGAGCGAGAAAACCACGAGCCAGTTGAAGAGCTTCTGGTTATAGTTGTCGACGAAGTGAGATTTCGTCCTTAGCATCATCTGGAAACGGGAGTTAGCGAGGTATATCGTGCTGACAAATCAGTGAGAGTTACCTTTGACAGCCTCTCGCGATAGGATGGTTTGGAAGGACCCATACAGCTAAGCTCGAACGTCTGGTTACACTCTTTCAAGCCGGCTGTGAACTTTGCCATTGAAGGCAGCCGCAAGTCTTGCATCTCTTCAATCTTGTTTTCGCATAGAGTGTAGTGCCGGTCACATTTCTTCGAGGATGCGTAGTCGTTATCGGTTTTTAATAGAGCATAAGCCTGACAAGAGCAAAGTTGTGGTCACCACCTCAAACAAAAATTTGTTTTGCTTACCTTACTTAGTTCACTTTCCATCAGATGGAGGGCTCCATCGCCGCGGCGCCTACCAAATCGCGCCTTATCGAACATCAACATAACTTTGGCAGCTGTCGTTTGATGAAAATCTTCAACCGACTGTTCCGGCATCGGCAACTTGAGCTTTGAAAGATCCTCGTTGTAAGCTTTCATGCATCGGTCGATGACCACTCGATTGAACGAGTCAACAACAGAGCCTGCAGAAGGGAATTCTCCTTCGTTCAAAGCTTCCAGCGTCTGCAGGAATATTGCAACGTTTCACAGGTAAATAAGGAAGTGAACACAAACCTGCTCGAGAAAAGCTGCAAACTCCTTGCCAGTTACTGTTTTCCCTTGCACCACCTTAGGCCGTATCATGGAACGCAAGAGTTCCTTTAGGCTCTCACGCTGTTTGATGTATTCTGGATCAAGATCGGAGTCGTCCATCTCACATAGTTTGGTGCGATGAAGGTGAGGCTATCATCACAGCCTGTCAGAATAGAAATCAGCGACTATAGGAAAGACTCTAAAACGTAATTACCTGCGGTAAGCCAAATGCTGTGCTGTTTTGTGCCATCAAACTCAAAGACTCTCTAATGCGATTGACCTGCTTGAAGATAGAATATTTCGACGTCACGAAACATGAAACTCTATCATACCTGATCAATGTCTTTGTCTCCTGAATTCAAAGGTCGAATGTCAGTACTAAATTTGCACATCAAAGAAGAACATACCGGTGGGATTAACAACCGGTTGAAGAGCCTCCCTCACCATTTCTTGTACAGTTTTTCCCTCTATCATAAACAAATGTAAGAGCCAGAAACGACCCCTAGCATCTAGAAAAACATACCAAGGAAATCTCGCTGAATGAGCCAAAGAAGTTTTGACGGTTCGAACGAGGCTGCATGTCCCTAGAGCACAAAAGACATCTGAGAAACTGTCATCCGTCAAGTGTACTGTACCTTCACACTGTAAACATCAAGAACCAAAAAGTGTGAGTCTAAACACAAGTCTTGGAGAAACAACGCACCGGCCATAAAACTCCTCGCCCAATTCCACTGCAAAAGAAAGTTTGGAGATGTCTGCTTCCCTGACCTGTACATAAAAAAAACCAAGTCAATTCCGAAAAGGAAATGACTAGTACCGTCTCCGGAAGGTTGTAAATAAGAACTGAGCTAAGTAATGCTGCTAGAGCGAAAATCCTAGAATACTAGAGTTAGAAGGCTGGACAATCCAACACGAAAGGTTTTCACCTGTCATCGTAGACATTTGATTTTCCTATGCTTTCGAATCCCTCCGTATCCATAAAGAGGACAGACGTGACCGAGTTGCCAATTGTCAACTCCATGGGTTCTCCCCATAGCCAGATGCCTGTGAGTATATTGTCAGCGTTGTAGGCCTGGCGAAAGCAACGTAAAACCTACCGCGAGTCTGCGTGTCTCGCAAGTGTCCAACTCCAAATCCTTGTATCCACAATGAAAACAATTTGGCAACAAGGAACCTTCGAAGTGACATAGCTTACCTTCATTGCAAGTGAGAGATAGAAGCTGGTTTAGAAGAAATGATTTTCCCGATCGATAGGGACCTATGACCTGCGTGACAGCAAAGAAAAAGAGATGCATAACGAGCATAGATTCGTGCTTGCTCACGCACTACGCACCGCAACCACGGAAATTGGATTCTTTATGCTTGAGATGAGCTCCAGTCCTTGTTTTGAGATTGCGAGCTTTGTGTGACCCGGATCTGGCTCCACGACGGGGAAGCTGGGGCGCAAAAAAGAGCCCGAAATTTCGATCGAACACACAGAGAAGAGATAAACGTACGCTTGATGCGAGAAGATCTCCAGAGGCCGCGCCCGGGCTAGACCTAGAAGCAAGATCCAGAGTGAAAGAAGCCGCAGAAGCAATCCCATCGGCTGCTCGCCCTCGCCGCGGGCCTGCATTGACAGCATTTGAATCAGCTCCATGGCGCTAGGGCGCGCGCTTATCGATGCCGCTTACCTCGCCCACCACAACCAGTCACAAGAAACGGAGGTCAATCAAGCGAACCCGTACGGAAGGGCCCCTATGACATGTCCACGTCAGCTGCCACAGCGTGCTTGACTTTTGCAGCTACGTCAGCTTTCTGTCGACGTGTCACGCGTTTTTGGTTGCTTTCGTGGCAGGGTTTTACGACCACGTCGGTGGGTGTGTTTTAAAGCCGGACTTGAAATGCGGGCCTTCAACGCGATTGAGGATTTCGTATTTTCCTTTTCTTCTGTGTGTGTTGACCATAGCCGCCGTTGAAAGTTCTCACTCGTGAGGGTTTCGTGCGCTTCTACAGGCGGCCGCGTTGGACCAGGACGCATTCGATCGCCGGGTAGGTCTTCTCGCATTCGCGGTGGCGGAGCTCGAATTTGGAGCACTGGTCACCGAATCCAGCCGGCGGGCAGTGGTTTCGCGAGAGATCTCGCGCCTCCTCTCGGTTGTTAGGTCGGGATTGGATGGATTGGAGGCCTGGGGAATTCCGGGACGAGAAATGCGAGCTACCTAGCCATAGGAATTTGGTCGATTAGAGGCGTGGCATCTGGGAATTGCTAGAGATGGCAGCGGCGACCAGATGATGCCAGATTTGGGAAGAGGAATTTAGGCTCCTGGATAGACACACAGGGTTTTTGGTATCCAATTTCTCTCTACAATGGCACAGGAGAAAACCTCGGCTTATTTCACAGCTAGTGAGGCGGTCGAGTCACTAGGAAAAGGATTCGATGTGACTTTGGATCTTAGGCTTGCTGGATGCAAGGGCCCATCCGGGCGCCTTGTAGAGCTCGACGAGACGAGCCATGAAGACCTCTACGTCCAGGACCGGGTCGTCATTCCCAATGTTTCCAAAGACATAAGATGTGACAAGGGGGAGTTTACGCATTTTCGGTCTGAAGTGCTTACATTTCACCAGGCAAGCTCACGCTGAGACACATACTTTTTTTTGTTTCTCTTTGCTTTCTCGGTTGCTTACGAGCATTGCTGTTGCTGGTCTTTGCAGATGTCGGAGCGATTCAACCAAGAACTTTCTATCACCGGGAAAATGCCACTCGGGCTTTTCAATACCATGTACAGTTTCAATGGGCCCTGGCAGGCTGATGCCTCGACTACGAAAAGTCTCGCACTCGATGGCCGGTTTATAACGTCTTATAAGCTGCAAATTGTCAAGAGTCCGTTGGTTTTGCGCGAGGAGGTGAAGAAGGCAGTCCCAGCGTCTTGGGATCCTGCTGCATTGGCCAAGTAAGCGATCTCGTCTTTCATCTCTTGTTTGGTAAGGAATTTTCTGACTGTGCGACACATACAAGGTTCATAGATACGTACGGGACGCACATTATTGTCAGTATCAAAGTAGGAGGTAAAGACGTTGTTTATGTCCGGCAACACCAGTCCTCACCGCTGTCGCCAACGGAGCTTCAAAAGTTTATCAAACGAATCGCCGATCAAAAGTTTGCCGAGACAAATGGCCCCGTCAGTGATTCCAGAAATATAAAGGACAAGGTACGGTTGCTGCAATGTTTCAGCAGGACAAAAACATAACTTTTGTCGCGCTCTTTCAGATGCAGACGTCGGACTTGCTCGCAGGTTCCAACCATGCTCACCGCTTGCAGCTAGAGACGCTTGCGTCGTCTGGTAGTTTTACAGCGAAGGAGGTAATGCAGCTCTTGGTTTTCCTCCTCATCTGCTCAGCTTTTTTGTTACACTGCAGGACGTTGAAATCATTTTTCGGCGAAGAGGTGGTAGCAATCTTCTGAAAAGTCACAACGAGTGGCTTAAGACTGTGGCTGATGCTCCTGATGTCATATCTATGACCTTCGTTCCCATTACGTCTCTGCTAAACGGAGTACTTGGGAGTGGATTTTTGAGCCATGCGGTCAACCTTTACCTACGTCGTAAGTCTTGCTTGTTGATGACTTTGATCTGTTTTTTTCTAAACATCAGTCACACAGATAAACCTCCCATCGAGGATTTACAGTACTTCTTGGAGTTCCAAATTCCTAGACAATGGTCACCGGGCTTTGATCTTCCTCTCGGGCCTCAAAGGAAAGAACCCGTGTGTCCGGCAATGCAATTCAGTTTGATGGGTCCAAAGCTGTATGTTAGTAGCGCGCAGGTCAGTTTACGTACGGTGCTTTCTCTTGCTCGTTTACAAGCGTTTACGTGTGTTCTCAGGTGACAATAGGAAGAAGACCTGTTACAGGACTACGGCTTTTCTTGGAAGGCAAGAAATGCAACAGACTGGGCATTCACTTGCAACACCTCTCGAGCCTTCCAAAGATCCTACAACCGCACTGGGACTCAAACGTCCCGATCGGGCCGCCGGTGTGGAAGGGCCCCGAGGAGCAAGACAGCAAGTGGTTCGAGCCGGTGCAATGGAAGAGCTTCTCTCACGTGAGCACGCAACCGGTGGAGTTCCTCGAGGAGTCCTACGTAGGCCAGACATCCGGCACCTACATTGTCACCGGCGCACAGCTCGGAGTCTGGGACTTTGGCATGAAGAAGGTACTCTTCCTGCGGCTCCTCTTCTCGAGAGTCCCCGGCTGCGCCATCCGGAGAACAGTCTGGGATCACTCGCCAACGACGTCGCAAAAGTCCGGCCTCTTCTCGCAGCTCGGGCTGAGCTCTACGTTCTCGGGCGCACAAAAGGCCAAGCCGGCCCCGGTGGTGCTCAACTCAGCCGTCTACCCGGGTGGTCCGCCGGTGCCGGTTCCAAGCCCGAAGCTCCTCAAGTACGTGGACATAACCGAGATGACCAAGGGAGCCCACGACATGCCGGGCCATTGGATAGTAACCGGCGCGAAGCTGGACGTGGACAGGGGCCGGATAGCGCTACGCTTGAAGTACTCGGTGCTGCATTATTGATGTATAATTGGAATCGCGCGCGCGGCTTGATCATCCCTATCCCCTTCTTTTGACGCAAAGTTGGCGATCTTCTTCGTTCGTTACCTTGTGAAAAAAATTCTCGCATCAAAACGTTGTATTTAGTATTGATACAATATAGTTGTTATTGTTTGCGCACACGCATTGATTGATGGAAGCTTGGACGACCGTGAATCACGATAATGGTGGGGAAAGGGATAAAGGATCCTTAAACCTAACCAGCGAACGTGGAAATTGGGGTGCTGGAGCCCTAAGGGAGATGCGGCTCTTTCGTACGCCGGTACGGTAGGACACAGCAAGCGCTGCGACGGAGCGAGCGAGCATGGGAAATGGGGGTTTTGCGCCCCGGCGCCACGCCAATCCTCGGCATTCTCACCGCTCTCTCGGCGCGATGTAAGCTCTCTCTCGATTCTTTGCTCTCGATTTCACATTCGTCTCCTCTTCTCTGCTAGAATCCGGCGGCGCAGCTCCGATATTTTGATCTAGTTCTTGCGCGATCGGCATGGGTGTGGCGCTCGCGCCGCACAAGAATCCGCAGCAGCAGCAGCAGCAGCATCCAGCGCCGGCGGAGCCGCAGCAAGACTGCGCGAGGCTTGCATGCTGTCGCCGCTGCTCCTCGATCCCTTCCTCGTCCTCCAAGGAGAACAGCCGGCCGAATCAGGAGCTCGAGCGCAGCGCCAGGGCTCCCCAATCTTCGGCGTCGTCGTCGCCCGCGGCGGCGGCGGCGATGCCGGTCACGGCGATCAAGAATCACAAAAAGAAGAAGAAGAAAAAGCCGCAGCATGCAACAGTGGCGCCGCCGGCTGGATCGTCGTCACCGCCAGCGTCATCTCCGTCGTGGATCGAAGAGGAGGAATTCGTGTCTCTGCTCAAGGCCCAGGATTTGCAGCCCACCGTGGAGGCGCTTCGCTGCTCCTGCGCCGCGAGCTCGCAGCACCAGGATCTGGCCGAGATCGACAAGGTTCTCGAGGTAGTGGCGCCGAAAGTCTTGTCCACTTCGTGCGCTAGGAATCCACCACCTTGCGTGTGCCGGCTCAAGAACCCGGGGCGTTTGCGGAAGCTCTCGCTCCAATCCGTGTGGGACTGGTTCGAGGAGCCCAGCATCTGTGGGATCCAGGTGAAATCGTGCGGAGAAGGCGACGATCGCTTCGATGCTTACCTGGTGCCTTACATCTCCGCCATCCGGCTGTTTGGGAACCGATCCGACGAGACCGTGCCGCTCCTCTTCGAGTTTTACGAGACCGAGCAGCTCACGCTCCGGCTTCCACTCCACCACAGGTAAAGCTCTTTTCTTTTGAGTTTGTATCGGACTTTAGCTTTGTCTCTAGAATCCAGGAACTTCTCAAGGAAAATCCCAGCTCTTGCATCATCAATGGCGACCCTACACTTCTCGAGCGGTGCTCGTTTCGGAGCCTTCATCCATCATCTTGGTAAGCTTGCGTACTTTGGTTTCTACTCTTTGGTGTTTGGCCTTGAAAGCTATCGACATTTATCACAGGTTTGCCGTTGCATGGTATCCAATCTACAAGGTTCCAGAGGGCCAGTTCCGCTGTGTCTTTCTAACGTACCATTCCCTGGGTCACGTCCAAGCAAGTGGATCCCTTCCGGTTCTTGGCCTCCAAACTTACCACTGCCAGGTTTGCCTGAAACATGCTCATATCGTTTCTCCAATCTTTCACAGGTCGAGCAATGGTTCACTCTCAAACAAGGGAACGAAGATTGCTCCGAGACGCTAAAGCAACGATTGACAAGCCTTGATCGTGCTGCTCTAGTCATGTCGAGAGGATCGGACCCCGTGTCTCAAAAGTTCCAGCACTCGGACTACGAGTTTTTTACAAGCCGAAAGTACTGACTCCCCTCCTGTATCCTAAGCTTACAGACACTCGCACACGTCAGTGTGTCCAAATTTTGATCGCTTTATAAAACTGGAAGTTACCTCCGTCCACCAACACAATCCTTGGTGTATTTGCTATCGAAGATCGATCGGCCTTTACATCATCTATATCCGTGGGCTGTTCTTGCGACGGGTTTTCAGTGTACGCCAGTCACCGTCTTCCCCAAAATCCAGAGCACTAGCGAGAGCTCAAGTGCGAAGAGTGTGTACAGGGATCCTCGGTCCAGCACGAAGCCGTAGACTGAAATCCCCGGGGAGTTATGTTGCAAGTATCTCACTGCGAGCAAAAGAAAGAAATATTACTCGAGAAAGTTTTAAGGAAGCGCAGCTCCAGGTACTTACGAAATGACTGCTGTTGCCTAAAGTAACACTCGTTGTCGTAATGCGAATCCTGGCTCTTCGCAGAGAACAAGTCGCAGGCCTTGATATCGGACTGTTGTCTCAGCAACGGGTAACATGGTGGAGTCGCGGTTTTGAAGGCTGGCTTGTTAAAGTCGCTTGTCATGGCGCTGCACGTCCACACCGCATGCCACTCGCTGACGAGGGAGATGAGTTTCTGGGCTCTGTGCGTGATCTTGGAGGCCCCATTCATGCAAGTCAGGATCCCGGAGAGCTGAACCGCAGAGGAAACCTGCAAAGTTCGCGCTGAAGTTAGAAAACAGAAGCTCCCAAGCGGGAGGTAAGAGCTATACTTACTGCTAGGCTGCCTGCGATGAAGAAGTGGACGCTCTCCTTGTATGATAGGATGAAGAACAGCGATATGAACTGGCTGCTGGTGATGATGAACATGCTGGCAAGGATGAAGATCCGGCACCTGTGGCTGATCTTGAAGAGCTGCTTCCGGATCCTTACGTGCTCCAGCAACAGCTCTGGAACGTCGAGGCTCTTGGCCAGGAGCGTGCTGTAGCCTTGGAGGCGCAAGATTTGCAGGGAACACATGAGCCGGAAGAGCACGCACATGAGCAGGAAGACTCCGGCCTTGTAGAGCCAGGAGAGCATGACCAAGGTGCACATAACCGAGCGGAGGGCGGGGCCGTGTGGGATCCCAGGGAGCGCGACTGTGGCGCGCGAGAACCACCATATCTCCCGGACGAGCTTCACCACCATTGATGGGAGGATGATCATGGCCAGCAGCCGGAAGGCAAACTGCGAGACAACAAAGAAAGCGTAATTGGATGAATCAACGCGAACTTAAAAAACGAGAGTTTTAGCTAGATGAATAGATGACTCATATGCAAGTTTTGGATCGTCCTGGTGCACGGAAAAAGAGAAAGAAAGTAGAGAGTTCAACCTAGACTCAACAAAAACAATCTTCTAAATCGCGTCCAAGTGGCAACAAGTGTCGGTTGGAGCTGAGATGATATTTGCAATGAACGATGCAGACAAGCAAGTGCTATGCACCAGAGCAATATGTAAACGAAAGAACTCAGATCAAGCACACCATAGACCACGAAGTTAAAAGATCAAAGGAAGTTCTTACGTTAACTTTGGCTCGGTAGTTCTGTTGTACCTCCTGGGACTCTCGATCCAGCTTCTCGAGCATCAAAACTTTGCGAAGGCCGTGCCGCCTGAGGAGGAAAGAGAGGCAAGCAAAGGATACGATCGCCAATGCCGACTCCGAGACGTAGACGAGCCTCTCGAATGGGAGCTGGCGGTGGTAGCATCTGGAGCAAGAGGTGGCCACGCTATTGATGACCGGCAGCACGATTGCAAAGAGGAGAAAGATGATCCAGGAGAAGGCGATCCTCACCGGCGTCGATTGATCCAGCCCAATCCATAGGAGGCTTAGCCGGAAGCGCTGGAGCTCGTCGCGAGGATTGGACAGCAGGCGGCATAGCGATCGCTGGTGGTGGGCGTCCGGCGGCGAGCCGCCATTGATTTTGCCCTCTTCGAGATCCCAGGTCACCGAGCGCCGGGGGGAATCCGAGCTCGCCCGCAGCGATCGATTCTTCTCTGCCAGCAGCGCCACCGCCGCCGCGGTGAAATCGTTGTAGATGTCGTGATGCGCCATGGAACCGGAGAGGATTTCGCCAAGGAACCAGATATTTCGAGCCTTGGGTGGATCCCTTCGATCGATCGCTGTGCAATGCGGCCGGGATTTTGATGCGCGAGCTTGCCTGGAATCACGATCGAGGCGATCGAGGCGATCGCGGTGGCGCCCGGCACATGAGAATCCACATGGAGTGGCGCCTTTCTTTTAGAGTCCGCCCATGGACTCTTGTGTGCGCTGCTACAAGGGAGAACTTTTTGTTTGCGCGGAGGGAAACGCGATGGTGCCACGTGGTATGGCGATTCACCGTCGCTTTTATTTGCTGTGCTTTCTAAAGCACGGGAAAAGAGCTGGAAGAAGGTGCGAAGGCTTTGCTTTGCCCTAGAACAAAGAGAAGGGATGAGTTTTAGGGTTGGAGGGGGGATCCAGCGATTTGGATCCAGGATTGTCCATGCCAAGGACGCGATCAAGGACACATTCTTGTCAACCAAGGTAAGCGACTAGATCGATCATGGATTTGAGCTAGAGGTGGATTGAGCTAGAATTCTTCCTTGGGGCGATTTTTCTAGAATGTTTTTGAGCAACACAAGCTCGTCTTTACCATTGGGACTTCGGTTCTCTCGGCTGGGGCTGCTTGGGCAGGTGATTGATTTCTAGGATGGATGTTTGTACTGATCTCTTTTCGTTTTTAATTTTTCTTTTCTTCCTTGTTTCTAGGCTACGTGGGGCGTCAAGTTCATCAGCAACATGTAGAAAATCGGCTCAACTCCATAGAAAACGCTGTAAGTTTATCGGCATCTTGGACAATTTCCTCTCTTTTCTCGCTCAACTTGAAAAATTTCTCTTTTTCTATTCTAGATGAAATCGCAAACGGGTTTGCCAGAAGATGAAATCCTGGCAATGACGAGGAGGGGCGTGAGCTTCAAGACGTGCTTTGCCTCAGTTGGAACGGCATCAGTGATCACGTATGGTTTTCTCTAGAACGTTTTGGTTTCGGTGCTCAAAGGTGTGATCCATTCAAACAGGTACATTCTTGGCTTTAGATCCGGGAGAAAGTTCACGCTGGCCAGAATCGAGAAGCAAAAGCAGCGGCTCCTGCTAGCCACGAACAATCCCAAAGTTCCAATCTCGCAGCGGCCGATAGCTCTTAAGCTCCAGCAGAGATTGAACGCTATCAAGATGCGAACCAGCGGCTGGAGGAGGAAGAAAAGTGGTAGCAACCAGCAGAAGAACGTCCGGGAAGAGGAAGAGCTCTATCCGGGTTGTGCATAGATAGATACATCGATAGATCGATGGGCGACGCTGCAATTTTGATGTACAGAGATTTCTAGCTAAAGATCCGAGATTTTGTGTGTCTACTCCCTCATAGATCGTCAAATTTTTCTCAACACTGCGTTTCAGACAAGGCTGAAATCTTTTTGAGTGGTAATCACAGGGAGACGATGAGATCCAAGCCATCAGAAGCAATCAATCAGCTCTTATCCTCGAGCCCGCGAGGAGCTCTCAGAGCCACTGCGCATAGAATTGTAGCTCATCACACGGCAGGAGCCCTAATTTCTGGCAAAATTTTAGGGTTCTTCCGAATGATAAACCCTAGGAACAGTAAAAGCGATTCGAACCACAAACTTTCGAACAGTTCGTATTGTGCTTTAGGGTTCTTACGAGTGCGTGGAATCGAAGGAAGGAATGCTAGGTAGGAAATCTCTCGCGGGCATGAAGATCGCTGGGGGCGCTGGTGATCGGCAGTGATCGGCACGCAGGGGCTTCTTCTCCTGTTTTTTTTCGGTGTCGTTTTGGTTGCTCTTCTTTCTTGATCAAAGATGGCTATGGTAGAAGCGCGAGAAGATTGGGGAAAAACCTCCGACCTCGCATGGAGCAGCGGCGTGGCTCCCTGGTCGGTGCTCATCGCGGGCTTGCCCAGGAACTCCATGACGTCGCAGGCGCTCCAGAGCCTGGCCAGGGAGGCGGTGGGCGGATTCGAGATGGTCCCGGACGGCATGGAGCTTGTAAACTTTGCGCGGATCTTCTCTCCTCCCGGCGCCACCGCCGAGGAGGACTGCGCCGTGGTAGGCTTCTCCTGCGAGGCCGTGGCGGAGCTCTTCCTGGATTCGTGGCCCGAGCTCCAGCTCCCGCATGGCATCGAGAGCACCAAGTTGACGTTCGCGAGGAACTTCCGGTCGAGCAAGAGGGTGGATTCCAGGCAGGAGATAATGCACGACTTGGTTTGCTCGGCTCCGTCACCCCTCGAGGAGAGGTTTGTGGTTTACGTGAGTGGCTTGCCGGAGGAGTGGATCGATCAAGCGCGGCTCCGGGACTACTTTGCGCAGATCGTCAAGGAGTACCAGAGCGAGGAGGTGGTGAGGTCGGTTCACGTATCGTCGCTGCTCAAGGACGCGTATGTGGAGCTCACCAGCGACGTGACGGCGGATCTCGTGTTCTACAGGAGCAAGCGAGATAGACTTCTGGACAAGATCTCCAAGGAGGTGTTTATGTGTCGTGGAGTCGGCTCTATCCCCTTGCTCCACTGGAAGCTCCCCCGAATCAAAGCAGCAGCAGCGGAAGAAGCTAGTCTCAAAAATGGTGGCGAGAGTGAGAAGAAGGCCACCTTTCTGGACTTTCTCAAGAACCAGCCGGGTATTCCTGGAAAGGCTCTGGATCTAAACGTCCCCCCGCCACTGGCAAGCAATCCCGAGACCGCGCCTCCTCCTCCTCCGGCAAGCAGTCCGAAGGCCGCGCCTCCTCCTCCGGCGAGCACTCTCGAGGACGCACCTCCTCCTCCTCGTCCGGCAAGCAATCGCGAGACCACGCATCTTCGTCCTCGTCCTGCTCTCGTTGCTGCTCCATGCGCGGGGAGAGCACTCAAGGTTGAGACCGAGAGGGACGACGCCAACTTCCAGTCCCGGGCTGCCAACTTCAACGTTGCTCCCATGCAACGGCCGTGCGAGAACAATCACGATAGCGCGATGACGAACAACGATACCATGTCCGTCTGCGACTCGGAGAGCGTGGACAGCTTTCAGAGAGGCCAGCGCTCCCGGAATGACAGTCTCAACCGCAGCTCCGTCTTCGTTGGATCCCTGGCCGAGCACAACCCGACCAAGCTCAAGGAGCTCTTCCACACCCTCCTCCGGAAGAGCATGCCGCTGGTGTCGCCCGACTCCATCCGCGTACGCTGGGCTCGGGGGAAGAGCTTCTGCCTGGTGGGGCTTCGATCCGAGAAGGCGGCACAGATGCTCATGGACGCATACATGGAGCACACCCGAGACGCTCACATACCGGGCTTTCCCCTGGCGATCTACAGGCACCGGGGATACCAGCGGCCTGGGACGGAGGTTTACAGTGATTCCTCCGTGGACGAGTCCGGCTTGGTGCTCGTCCAGGGGCTCCCCCCGCGTTTACACGCGTGCCTGGTCCAGGGAGCTCTCACCGAGCTGCTGGAGACGGCGCTGGCTGGCGCCAGGAAGTTCCACTCCAACATGGCCCGGAATTTCTTTTCCTACTTCAGGTATGATCCGATGTTTGGGACCGCCAGGGTGAGATTCAAATCCCGCGTCGCTTGCGAGCACTTGCTGACGCTCAAGAACTGCCGGCTGGAGCTCGCGGGTGGCGTCATAAGCTTGGAGCGCGAAGCGTCGCCGCCGGGGTTTGGCGATCACTTGGACCAGGATTTCATGGACGGGAACTGGAAGCGCAAGAGGCCGTTTAGCGCAGAACAGAGCCACGCCAAGCAAGCTAGACAAAGCTACTACTGAGGTGAGCACCACAGGTTCTATACACGAAAGCAAAGTCTTTCCCCAGTTTTATTAGCTAGTACACTTGTTATGACTTCTTTTATATTTATCTAAGCCACCTGCAGGAGAGAAAAAATGCTGCTTGGCCATCACGTATTTTGACTTCAGCATGCGCTCCCTTCCCTTGTATCCCTCCTCGCCATCCTTGAACCACACCGTCACCAACTTAAGCCTTTATGACCCAAATCTTCTTGTTCTCCACTGGTTGCATTGTTCTTTCGCTTTATTCTAGCCGCCTTTTCTGTTTCCATTTGATCTTCTTTATAGATGCATAACAACAACGCCAGGCTGTTTTCGGTCATGTATTCTTGTGTATCGATCTATCTTGTAAGAAAGAAAATCAATAGCTAAAGTTTTTTTTTGTGTGTGTGTTTATTCTGATCAACTAAATTATCAATCGATCAGATACCCACTGGACTATCTTCTATAGTATTGACCACCACATGCTTGTGAGGGGACCTTCCTCGCTGTCACCATAATCTGGATTGTTTTGAAGAAGAACAAAATCTTGTTCAGCTACTCTTGCTTGGACAGCCGCCTTAGTTTCTTGCAGCAATTCCTGCCTCCTTCTCATGCTTCCTATTTTCCCTCATTGCCGTGAGCTCTGCTTTTTTTTAATTTCCTTCAAATGTTTGAGCTCGCAGTAAAATGGAGGCTGGGTTCCCATTAAGGTAGCAAGAAAAGCTATGGACAAGGTTCTCACAGCTGAGAACATCCTTGCAGGCTGGAGAATAACAAGTTTATTTCATATTAGTTCAACTTCTATGGTGTATCACTGTAAGCCACAGAGTGAAGATAACTTAAAGCCATTTCTGAATGCTACTGTTGGAGGGAAATGGACATGGACCTCAGCCACATTTCAATGTCAATAGCAGATTTACTACTCATCTCACTATGCTTTCAATTTGCAAGTCAGGAACCAACACCACAAATGATGTGTTTCAACCATTTCTCCATCTGTCCTTGTGCAAGGAATCTTCTTTATATTGTTCCAATTTTATCTTGTGTCTCCAAAAAAAAAATTTTCTTAATGGAGCTTGTGAGGCCAAGTGTACGGCCCAAGTGTGGGACCAAGTGAGGGCCAAGTGTACAGTTACGATGCCGTATACTAATATTAGCATGGATGTGAAGGCTAAGTGTACAGTTACGATGCCGTATATTAAATTAGCATAGTGGGATTTTGGTAACCGTCGGATTAATTTCAATCCGGACCACTCGCTCTTGTATATAAGCTAGGGTTTTTGGGCTAATTGATATGCACATTTCTGTATTCCTTTTTCCATATTCCAAGCACTCTCCAAGGACAATCAAAGGTGCCCCTCAACTCCACCAATGTGAGTGCTTGGAATATGGAAAAGGGAATACAGAAATGTGCATATCATTTAACCCAAAAACCCTAGTTTATATACAGGAGCGAGTGGTCCAAATTGAAACTAATCCGATGGCTACCAAAATCCCACTACGTTAATATTAGTATACGGCATCGTAACCGTACACTTGGCCCTCATATCATCCCCCCCTCTCAGGATAATGGAAGACTATCAGGGTTCTCTTGTAGACGGGCCGGGATCTGGAGGAACATCAGGAGGAGGCATCGGCGGATCTGTAGATGGTATTAACTTCTCCTGATCCCTTTGTATGAAGCGTTTCAACTGTTACATATGCACAATCTCTGGAGGATCGGCCTGCTAGACATCATGCTGAACCTCATAAACTTGTGATCCAACTTGCCACAACACCCGATACGGTCCTTTCCGCTGTGCAAGGAGCCCCTTAGACAAACCACGTACCGTAAGATGGGGAAAACGGACTAACACCAAATCATCCACTTTGTACTCCGCAGGTGGACGATGACGGGAGCTGTAGCGCTGTTGTTGTCCCACTTGTACGCGGCCTAAGTGTTCGGCAGACTCCGCTCGGACAAGTGGAAGAATGCTTGTCAAATATTGATCCCATGACCTAGCATCTGCAGCTCGTGGCAATCGCGAAGGTAAACCCAGCTCCGTTGGTAATATTGGATCATGACCATATAGAAGTTTATATAGTGAAGCACCAACAGAACTCTGCACCCCAGTGACATATGCATACCGAAGAGACGGCAAATAACCATCCCAATCCAAATGCTGAAAGTTCACATACTTCGCAATCATCCCCTTGAGGGCCAAGTGTACGGCTATGATGCCGTATACTAATATTAGCATAGTGGGATTTTGGTAGCCGTCGGATTAGTTTCAATCTGGACCACTCGCTCCTGTATATAAACTAGGGTTTTTGGGCTAACTGATATGCACATTTCTGTATTCCCTTTCCATATTCCAAGCACTCACATTGGTGGAGGTGAGGGGCACCTTTGATTGTCCCTGAGGAGTGCTTGGATTTGGGATTTTGGTTTAGATCTAGCTTTTGCATTGTCTAGATCTAGCTTTTTCCATTTCCTTCTTTTTGTTCTTTCCTTTCAGGATTTTGGTTTAGATCTAGCTTTTTGCATTGTTTAGATCTACCATTTCCTTCTAGCTTTTTGTCATTTCTCTTCTTTTGCTCTTTCTTTTTCATTTGTTTCCATGGCA